TTAAAAATAAAACTCAGCAAACAAATACTATAGGAACATAAGTTTGACCAGTACAGATGTGCAGACTTGCCTTTCTCAAAGTTGGTTTTTGCACAGATCTATTGGTATTAAGCAAGTAATGGTTAATCTACAGCGTTGATAGAATGTGTTGCTCAATTACAAAAATATTTTCCTCATCCTAAACAATGTCACTGTATCACATTCCAAATTTTAACTACTTACATTTTGGTTTTTTGCTGCTACTTAAATGACCATGACTTAAGTCAAGATGCTCGTCTGATTTCATCTTTATAATATTTTTTGTATTTGCATTTCAAATGAATCTGCAATCGCTTTCCTGAAATTATAAAAAAAATTGAAAAATTTCAAAAAAATTTGAATTAAGCAAGGGAAATCTTTTTTTATTTTGTTTTTTTATTATGGTGGAACTAACATACTAAATAAAATTGTTCTTCAAGGTCGAAAAAAACATGATATCAAATGAAAATTAGTGTACTTCTTAATAACATGTCAATAAATGTTTTGAATAAAATCATAAGGAGTTCCATGTACAGTAAACCCTTTATATTTGCCCCTGGAGCAGTCAAAAAAATGTACAGTAAAAACCCTTGGAATTGGCCCTGGAACAGTCAAAATAAAATGTACAGTAAAACCCTTGGAAAATTTGCCCTGGAACAGTCAAAATAATGTAGCAGTAAAACCCCTTTAATATTTGCCCTGGAGCAGTCAAAATAATGTACAGTAAAACCCTTGGAATTTGCCCTGGAAACAGTCAAAATAAGTACAGTAAAACCCTTTATATTTGCCCTGGAACAGTCAAAATTAAATGTACAGTAAAACCCTTGAATTTGCCCTGGACAGTCAAAATAATGTACAGTAAAACCCTTGGAATTTGCCCTGGAGCAGTCAAAAATATTGTACAGTAAAACCCTTTATATTTGCCCTGGAACAGTCAAAATAATGTACAGCAAAAACCCTTGGAATTCGCCCTGGAGCAGTCAAAATATTGTAGCAGGTAAAACCCTTTATATTTGCCCTGGAGCAGTCAAAATAATGTACAGTAAAATCCTTGGAATTTGCCCCTGGAACAGTCAAAAACTAGAACTATCACTAAATGTGATTAATACCCCACAAGACTGCTTCTGAAATGAGGATGTTACTTGTAACAGAATACCTTGTAAAAAAGAATTGAAAATATAGAGTTTATGGTTGTGGGCAATTAAAGATAATTGTGGTTCTATATGTTGCATTTTCCTTTCAATGTGGTTTTGGCCATTGATGAAGTTTAATTGAATTACTCTGTAATAAGTCCAGAAAGACAAAGAAAAGGAACAAAGGGCAATAACTCTATAAATATGAAGATAGAGTTATAGTTCTGTGCACTGCACTTCCTCTTATTGTGCTTGACCATTTGTATGAAGTTGTTTTGAATTCCAACCAGTATGTTTTTAAGTTTGCTCCTGACAAGGAAAAGCATCAAAGGGCAGTAACTCTGTATTTTGTCAAAATGGAGTTATGGCTCTTGTGCACTGCACTTCCTTTTAATGTCCTTGACAACTGTAAATGAAGTTTGTATTGAATTCCAAACAGTAGTTTTCAAGTTATGCTCTGGACAAGGAAAAGTAACAAAGGGCAATAACTCTGTAATTAGTGCAAGATGGAGTTATGGTTCTTGTGCACTGCACTTTCTCTCAATGTGCTTGACCATTGTATGAAGTTATATTGAATTCCAACCATTAGTCTTCAAGTTATGGTCCGGACAAAAAAGGCAATGGAAAAGCAACAAAGGGCAATAACTCTGTAATTACTTTAGATAGAGTTATGGTTCTTGTGCACTGCACTTCCCCTTATTGTGTTTTGACAATTGTATGAAGTTGTTTTGAAATTCCAACCAGTAGTTTTCAAGTTATGCCCCGGACAAGGAAAAGTAACAAAGGGCAATAACTCTGTAATTAGTCAAGATAGAGTTATGGTTCTTACGCACTGCACTTCCTCTCAATGTGCTTGACCATTATATATAGTTATATTGAATTCAAACTATTAGTCTTAAAGTTATGGTCCGGACAAAAAAAAAAGCAATGGAAAAGCAACAAAGGGCAATAACTCTGTAATTACTTTAGATAGAGTTATGGTTCTTGTGCACTGCACTTTCCCTTATTGTGTTTGGCAATTGTATGAAAGTTGTTTTTGAATTCCAACCAGTAGTTTTCAAGTTATGCTCTGGACAAGGAAAAGTAACAAAGGGCAATAACTTCTGTAATTAGTCAAGATAGAGTTATGGTTCTTGTGCACTGCACTTCCTCTCAATGTGCTTGACCATTGTATGTAGTTATTTGAATTCAAAACATTTTAGTCTTCAAGTTTATGGTCCGGACAAAAAAAAGCAATGGAAAAGCAACAAAGGGCAATAACTCTGTAATTTACTTTAGGTAGAGTTATGGTTCTTGTGCACTGCACTTCCCTTATTTGTTTGACAATTGTATGAAGTTGTTTTGAATTTCCAACCAGTAGTTTTCAAGTTATGCCCCGGACAAGGAAAAGTAACAAAGGGCAATAACTCTGTAATTAGTCAAGATAGAGTTATGGTTCTTGTGCACTGCACTTCCTCTCAATGTGCTTGACCATTGTAATGTAGTTATATTGAATTCCAACCATTAGTCTTCAAGTTATGCTCCGGACAAGGAAAAATGCAAACGGACGTCTGGACCGACCGACCGACCGCCCGACCGACCGCCGACCACCGGGGTGATCCTGATATACCCCCCAAACTTCGTTTTTTGGGGGTATAATAATGTACAGTAAAACCCTTGGAATTTGCCCCGGAGCAGTCAAAATATTGTACAGTAAAACCCTTTATATTTGCCCTGGAGCAGTCAAAATAATGTACAGTAAAATCCTTGGAATTTGCCCTGGAACAGTCAAAACTAGAACTATCACTAAATGTGATTAATACCCCCACAAGACTGCTTCTGAAATGAGGATGTTACTTGTAACAGAATACCTTGTAAAAGAATTGAAATATAGAGTTATGGTTGTGGGCAATTAAAGATAATTGTGGTTCTTATATGTTGCATTTCCTTTCAATGTGGTTGGCCATTGATGAAGTTTAATTGAATTACTCTGTAATAAGTCCAGAAAGACAAAGAAAAGGAACAAAGGGCAATAACTCTATAAATACTGAAGATAGAGTTATAGTTCTTGTGCACTGCACTTCCTCTTATTGTGCTTGACCATTGTATGAAGTTGTTTTGAATTCCAACCAGTATGTTTTAAGTTATGCTCCTGACAAGGAAAAGCATCAAAGGGCAGTAACTCTGTATTTTGTCAAAATGGAGTTATGGCTCTTGTGCACTGCACTTCCTTTTAATGTCCTTGACAACTGTATGAAGTTGTATTGAATTCCAAAACAGTAGTTTTCAAGTTATGCTCTGGACAAGGAAAAGTAACAAAGGGCAATAACTCTGTAATTAGTCAAGATGGAGTTATGGTTCTTGTGCACTGCACTTTCTCTCAATGTGCTTGACCATTGTATGAAGTTATATTGAATTCCAACCATTAGTCTTCAAGTTATGGTCCGGACAAAAAAGGCAATGGAAAAGCAACAAAGGGCAATAACTCTGTAATTACTTTAGATAGAGTTATGGTTCTTGTGCACTGCACTTCCCCTTATTGTGTTTGACAATTGTATGAAGTTGTTTTGAATTCCAACCAGTAGTTTTCAAGTTATGCCCCGGACAAGGAAAAGTAACAAAGGGCAATAACTCTGTAATTAGTCAAGATAGAGTTATGGTTCTTACGCACTGCACTTCCTCTCAATGTGCTTGACCATTATATATAGTTATATTGAATTCAAACTATTTGTCTTAAAGTTATGGTCCGGAAAAAAAAAGCAATGGAAAAGCAACAAAGGGCAATAACTCTGTAATTACTTTAGATAGAGTTATGGTTCTTGTGCACTGCACTTTCCCTTATTGTGTTTGGCAATTGTATGAAGTTGTTTTGAATTCCAACCAGTAGTTTTTCAAGTTATGCTCTGGACAAGGAAAAGTAACAAAGGGCAATAACTCTGTAATTAGTCAAGATAGAGTTATGGTTCTTGTGCACTGCACTTCCTCTCAATGTGCTTGACCATTGTATGTAGTTATATTGAATTCAAACATTTAGTCTTCAAGTTATGGTCCGGACAAAAAAAAGCAATGGAAAAGCAACAAAGGGCAATAACTCTGTAATTACTTTAGGTAGAGTTATGGTTCTTGTGCACTGCACTTCCCCTTATTGTGTTTGACAATTGTATGAAGTTGTTTTGAATTCCAACCAGTAGTTTTCAAGTTATGCCCCGGACAAGGAAAAGTAACAAAGGGCAATAACTCTGTAATTAGTCAAGATAGAGTTATGGTTCTTGTGCACTGCACTTCCTCTCAATGTGCTTGACCATTGTATGTAGTTATATTGAATTCCAACCATTAGTCTTCAAGTTATGCTCCGGACAAGGAAAATGCAACGGACGTCTGGACCGACCGACCGACCGCCCGACCGACCACCGGGTGACTCCTATATACCCCCCCAAACTTCGTTTTTGGGGGTATAATAATGTACAGTAAAACCCTTGGAATTTGCCCCGGAGCAGTCAAAATATTGTACAGTAAAACCCTTTATATTTGCCCTGGAACAGTCAAAATAATGTACAGTAAAACCCTTGGAATTTGCCCTGGAACAGTCAAAATAATGTACAGTAAAACCCTTTATATTTGCCCTGGAACAGTCAAAATAATGTACAGTAAAACCCTTGGAATTTGCCCTGGAACAGTCAAAATATTGTACAGTAAAACCCTTTATATTTGCCCTGGAACAGTCAAAATAATGTACAGTAAAACCCTTGGAATTCGCCCTGGAGCAGTCAAAATATTGTACAGTAAAACCCTTTATATTTGCCCTGGAGCAGTCAAAATAATGTACAGTAAAATCCTTGGAATTTGCCCTGGAACAGTCAAAATAATGTACAGTAAAACCCTTGGAATTTGCCCTGGAGCAGTCAAATTGAATATCAAGGCCCAATAATCACATAGTCGCTCACCTGAAATCTTTCCTGCCCATGATAAAACCAGATATATGTCCATGTTGTAATGTTCGTACTTGACTTCCTGGCCATATTTCACTGAGCTTCAGGTATCCTTCCACCGGGATATATTCGTCGTTCTCTGCTGTCACAATTATAATCAGTTCCGTATCTAATGGAACAGAAAAATTATCCAGATGTGTACATTCGTCCATCACTCCCTTCATAAAATGCCTGCAATCCTGAGCGAGCTGCTGTTCCACAATTTTATCTGCCGCACTGGACTTGAACCACGAAGGAAGTCCTGGCAACCCTGGTAGTTTATTTCTAATGCCCTCCAGCCACCTTAAAATATTAGAACTTGACTGGTTTGATGAATTTTCTGTATCAGCAGACTGGTTTTCCAATGGTTTTTCGCATTCAGGCTGGTTTGTGTTTGTATTTTCTGACAGGTGTGATGACTGGTTTTCCCCTGAGTTATTAAGACTTGGTGTTGACTGAGTAGCTATTGAATCACTTAAAGTAGTAGACTGTGTCCCTGATTTATTTTGTTTGTCCAGGTCCTTTGACTCTGGCAGACGGTAATTATCTATATTGAAGATGTCTAACTTGCCACCATTATCCTTCGCATTCTTGACGTAGCTGTCTTCGAGCTCGTGAAAATATTTCCTTCCTTCACTGTACATAGAATCAGGTGTGTTCCAATACTGTAACAATAATACATCCGGTAATGTGTAAAATATCACCTCATAATTTTATAACCAAAAATATGTTTCACTGTTTTTCATTGGACAATTGATAAGTTTATATTAAGTATATACATGGCTGCTGTTAATTAGTAAATTAATTTTCATCTTTCCAACAAACAAAGGGACTGAGCAGTATCATAAAATTGTTATATTGACTTGTATGTTATATGATCAGGTTTATATCTCCATATAACCATGTTTTTATTACTATATAATCTTTGCTTAGTGGCTTGGGTTATGTAAGCTTATGTCTATTCTGAACCATTGCACAGTAGATAAAACAGACCACTTGACCATGTCTTGCGAGCCTATACAAGTCAATGTGTATCATGTCTTGTAAGCCTATACAAGTCAATGTGTATCATGTCTTGTAAGCCTATACATGTCAATGTGTATCATGTCTTGCGAGCCTATACAAGTCAATGTGTATCATGTCTTGCGAGCCTATACAAGTCAATGTGTATCATGTCTTGCGAGCCTATACAAGTCAATGTGTATCATGTCTTGCGAGCCTATACAAGTCAATGTGTATCATGTCTTGCGAGCCTATACAAGTCAATGTGTATCATGTCTCGTAAGCCTATACAAGTCAATGTGTTTCATGTCTCGTAAGCCTATACAAGTCAATGTGTATCATGTCTTGTAAGCCTATACAAGTCAATGTGTATCATGTCTTGCGAGCCTATACAAGTCAATGTGTATCATGTCTTGCGAGCCTATACAAGTCAATGTGCATCATGTCTTGCGAGCCTATACAAGTCAATGTGTATCATGTCTTGCGAGCCTATACAAGTCAATGTGTATCATGTCATGTAAGCCTATACAAGTCAATGTGTATCATGTCTTGTAAGCCTATACAAGTCAATGTGTATCATGTCTTGCGAGCCTATACAAGTCAATGTGTATCATGTCTTGTAAGCCTATACAAGTCAATGTGTATCATGTCTTGTAAGCCTATACAAGTCAATGTGTATCATGTCTTGCGAGCCTATACAAGTCAATGTGTATCATGTCTTGCGAGCCTATACAAGTCAATGTTGTTCATGTCTTGCAATAACAAGCACCTGCTACTTCCAATCACTGTACCTTTCTTTGGATCTTAATTATTTTAACTTTTACATTCCTTGTGAAAACAGGAAGTAGATTTGTTTATCCACTGTGCAGTGGGCAATTGGGTCAAAAATCTTTACAACTTATAATAGTAATATCTTAAAACTGCAAGTAAGTAATACAACTGCTACAACTGTTTATTGTTAACTAATTATTGCATACTGTAAAACTTCATTTGCTTCTTATAACATTAATGTGCTAAAAAAATTCTTGTATGAGATAAATATCTGCGGATGCGCAGCGTGGTCTGGATCCATGCTGGTCACAAATCATTATGTTGGTTTTGTCGTGACGCGGCTCAGTTAGATATTTATCTCATACAAGAATTGTTTTAGCACATTAATATTCATGAATAGGAGAAAACATGATAAACATGTATAAACAGTACAAAATAAAAGTTTAAAGTAATTATAAAGTAAAGTTTTTTTTTAGGAAATTACAATAACGCAAGTTATAAACTGTGTTTGGTTAGGTTACGATTCAAGTTATAAATAAACATACCGGTTCAGGGGAGACAATCAACTTTTTCAACTCTCTTTCATACGCTTCATCGGCCCCGTATTGTTTTATTAATAGATCCCAGGGGATGGCTTTACTTAGAACTCCCTGTAATATAAAACATTAACATCATTTTACATTTCATGATATTTTTCATGATGAATTATATGATGAATATCTGAGAGACATATGTCTTCACTGTTTCAAAGTGAGTGAGAGTTTTGTACATGTTATGTTGAAACTAATACAAAAGCATAATATTGATAAAGATGAAACTATTCAATAAACAAGATATTCAAACTATCAATATCAAGCTGTTAACAAAAGTTCTATGACTAAAGAAAACAAAGAATTTACCAAATTTTACCTTGACCACGGCACCAGTGGCCTCATACCCTGCCCAAGCACAGGGTAGAGGTCTTAGCAAGGTACATACACACCAACTAACTATAGTACAAACTAATTAACTTCTTGTAGTTTAAAAAAAGTTTTATTTTTTCTTCTCTATATGTTTATCATGCAAACAAGGGAAAATATGCCTGTTTCAGCTAGAGAAGTCATTGAAACTTGCGATATAAAATATCATAAATTTTGAACAAGTTAAACTAACAGCTATCAAAAAGAACTGCAATCATATAAATATGGCATCAAGAAAAACCCAGCTGAAACCATGTAATACATCGTGAAACAATAATAAACAAAACAAAAACAAAAATTATATTATAAATCCATTTTACCATGTTATAATGGTATGTCAGAAAAAAACCCAACTCAAAACTATCATGCAAGTATAACAAAGAATAGGCTATCATATTAATATGACGGAGAAAACAAAACTACTTCCATGCAATAGATAAGAAACAAACTGCTAAGAACTATGTAAATATCACAAAAAAACAGCTACATGCATGTGTGGTTCAAAACAATTAACCATGTAACAACTTACATGTGTAAAAACTCCTGCTGCCGTACTGCCTGACATACAGGGTATAAGGGAAATAGGTTTGTGCCAGTTCGTAACTCCAAGAGAGGCCATCTGTAATAAATTGTATATATATGATAAATATTGTGTACTATGTAAGTCTATACGTTGTGCAGTGTGTAAAACTTACATGTGTAAAGACCCCTGCAGCAGTACTAGATGACATACATGGTATGATAGACAGAGGTTTATGCCATACAGTTGCCCCTAAAGAAGCAGTCTGAAATTTATACAAAATGTTTTATCATGTCCCTTCACAAGCTTTCACATGTCCCTTTGCAACATTGACATGTCTATAAGGAATTTAGAACAATAAAATATCAACCTACATAAATTCATTGAGGGACAAGAGTTGTGCCAATGTATCAACTGACAAAGCTAATAAAGCGAAACATGTATTGATATTTAGATTTGTGTTGGTTTTTTGATCTACTTGTCCTGGCCAATAAAATTCCAAATACAACAAATGTAGATTCTGTTCAAACGTCTGTCTTCATTTTGTTTCCTGCTCCAGGTAGTGTTTTTTTATGTCAATTTTAACACATTTTTGGTCATATGTTGTTGGTCGGTTCACCTAGAAGGCCTTCCTAGATTACTAACTTGTAATTTTCAATCTCTCATAAATTTAATTAATTCTGTATATCTAAGGATTTTTTCTCTCTCTTTCAGGCATGAGAGGGCATTTGAGTAGAACCACTAACCCTTCATAAGCTAGATGAATAGCTTCCTTATTACGAAAGACTGAAAAGGCCCCGATGGGATTCGAACCCACAGAGGTGAGGGGCAAGACCACATAGGCAAATAATAACACAACAATAATTATTTGATAAAGTTTCTATCATTTTGAACCATTTCAAGAAAAACAACATATTTGTCTTAAAGAAGTCACTCACATTTACCATTTGAGTCTAATTTACTGTAAATTTTCATGAAGCAAAAATAATAAATCAAATTACAATGCATGAATAAAAGTATTGTTTTATTATTAATCATTTGGTCAAAAGTCCCATCAATGGAACATTTAACCCAAGAAAAATAAATGTTCAACCTTAGTTATTTAAGTGTTTGTGTCAAACCATTGAGGTAACAAAAAAAGTAAAAGGTTTTAACTAGGTAAATAACGTACATGTCCACCCATGGAGATCCCTGAAGCACCAAGAGGTCCATATCCTAGTCTGTCCAGCCAATTAAACAATACTAGAGACTCCAGTATTATACATCCTCCCATTATAAACAAATCATTTACTTCATGTAGACTAGAACGACTGAAATAACAAATATAGGTATTTACTTATATGGTTAATGAAGAATTAAGGCCTGTTTTTAACCATATGAAATAAACAACTGCTTAAAAAAATCAATAGAACCAGGCTAGCTCTAACCACTCTATACTGCTAGCTGGATAGTGTCCTCATATGGTAAGAATCCGAAATCCCTGGCTGAATTCTTACCAACAAAGCAAGTGATTTGAAGTCATGAGACCTTACCTAGCCTATTCTGCAGGGTTCTCACTAGGACTTTAAAACATGGAGTCCATGGACTCCCAACCCTGAAAAAGTTGGAGTCCAAAAGCACGTCGCAATTAATATGTTTACAGATTAGTCATTCAATGCTCACAATAGCATTGCTGATATTTTGAATCTTCAAGAGACTTTCAAAGTTTATAGTTATTCAAAAGAAACTCTGAACTACATATTATAATTATTGTTTTGTTGTTAATATTTATTATGAATTTATTTCATTATAATGCATCAACACATGGAAATCGTTTTTGTTTTTTACTTTTATACCAAATCAAATTTTGTTCTGGTTAAATAAGTCCACTCTTAAGACAAAAAGTTTATATTTGTAAAAAAAAACGTAAATGTATATAGGCAGCGTTTAGCGGAATGAATAGGAAAATCGTGTACAGCTTCACACAGAGTGTAAGAGATTTATCCGATCGACAATTATTTTAGCAAACATCTTCAAAAGGGGGCAAATTGAAGATCGATTTTTAAAGATTTAATGTTGATTAAATAATAAAGGAATAATTCATTCACATGTTTGGCTTGGAAACTGAGAATTTTTGCGAAATTTTAGGGTTTCTGACGAACGTGAAATCGCCGATGTTCGGGATCAATTTTCGGATAAAAGAAAAGCGTATGTGTATTTTGGTTTGTTGTCCTGGCATTTCGGCACAATACCTTAAATTCTTAATACTCTTATAGAACTTTTTTTCAAGAATGAAACTAAAGCAAAATTGTGCCTAGAAAATGCCGAAAATATTCGACAATCATTCAAAATTACACTCATTTGTAATTTGAGAATAACAGTCTTTTAACTTGAGGCGTAAATAGTCGATAATTTTATCCTTTAGTCGGTAAAATTTGCTAATTTCCAATCAACTGTTGATCAAAGATATAAAATTATCACCTTGTGTTATATCTGGTAATTACACATACAGCGTGTGTATACATTAGTCTGATCACTATTGCGTGATAATGATCGGAAGGCGTTATCGCTGATTGGCTAATTGCTTCACGGGTCGATGTGCATAGGACCGCCTACCTATAGACTGACACACGCTGACGTATTTGTGTATTTGTGGTTGTAGAAAATCGGTAATGTTCATGCGTCCCCAGGCAAAATTAAGCGTACGTGGAATCCTTACTCTGAAATATTTGCGTCCAGCTGTAATAAACATGCGTACCGGGACGCTGAAATAAGCGTCCCCGAGAACCCTGTTCTGCCCTAGATACCTGGTTTATTTAAGTATTTTGGTATTAGGATACCTCACTTTAACAATGGACATGCCCATAAAAATATAATTATTTATATTTAAAGCGATTATTTTTTTTCCATAGCAGATATATCTTTTTTTATCATAAATTATTTGAAACACTTACAATTGGGCTTTGGGCCTCCTGGTACCATCTTTAAAACATATGTCAAGGAAAATTTTAAGATACATTTTGCAGGGCTTCCATTAGATTTGAAAATTTGGAAGTCAGAGACTGAAAAATGTCTGACATTGGAAGTCCGTCACATTATATAGGTAAACAAAAGCACCGCTAGGCGGAGCATTATATGCCCGAAAGTGATTTTTTTGTAAAGATGAAGCATTTGTAAGACATGGGAGTCAAATAAAGTATTACCTCCTTCAAATAACAATCCTCCTTTGAAGTTTCAATATTGTGGTCCAAATGGAACTTAAGTCATGCCCCAGAAACTGTTTTCAATTATAAGGTAAATGTGCCCTTGACCTTTGACCTTGTGACCCCAAAATCATTAGGGGTCTTCTACCCAATATGGACAATCATACTATGAAGTTTAAACACAGTAGGCCAAATGATACTGAAGTTATGTTCCGAAAACTGTTTTCAGTTTTAAAGTAATAGTGACTTGACATTGTGACCCCAAAATCAATAGGGGTCTTCTACCCAATATGGACAATCATCCTATGACATTTGAATATTGTGGGCTAAATGGCACTTAAGTAATGCTCAAGAAACTGTTTTCAATTTCTAAGTAATAGTGACCTTGACCTTTGACCTTGTGACCCCAAAATCAATAGGGGTATTCTTCCCAAAATGGACAATCATCCTATGAAGTTTGAACACTGTGGGCCACATAGAATTTAAGTTATGCTCCGGAAACTGTTTTTAGTTTTAAGTTAATAGTGACCTTGACCTTTGACCTTGTGACCCCAAAATCAATATGGGTCTTCTTCCCAATATGGACAATCATCCTATGAAGTTTGAACACTGTCGGCCAAATGGAACTTAAGTTATGCTCCGGAAACTGTTTTCAGTTTTAAGGTCATAGTGACCTTGACCTTTGACCTTATGACCCCAAAATCAATAGGGGTCTTCTACCCAATATGGACAATCATCCTATGAAGTTTGAATATTGTGGGCCAAATGGAACTTTAGTTATGCCCGGGAAACCAAATTGCTAACGGACAGACGGACGAACAGACGGACGGACGCTGGGGGGTATAACATAATATGTCCGAAATTCTTTCGGGCATATAAAAATGAATAGCTTTGTATTTTGGAAGTCACAAGCCAAAATCAAGGATTAAATAAATGGCTCCAAAACTTCCAGTAATAAAAGCCCTGATTTTGTAGTATCTAGGGAAATGAAACACAAAATTAAATCATAAATGGAATCATTTTACTTTACATATTACCATCTTGTCACAGGACTTCTTAAATCCATCTACCAAGCTCCCTGGAGAGTATTTTATACTCACTTATGTCAGCCCTCAAATGGTGCCATAGAGTAACTTATTCAAGATTGTCTTAATTTTCAATTTTCAATTTGAACTGAAGCACTGTGGATCAAGGAAATTAGCAATGGCCTTGACAGGACACCATAATTGGCAACCTCTAAATCCCAAAGCTGATTGTCCTACACCTAGACAACAAAATAATGTTTTCAAAAGGATACAGAATGGATTTTCCAGTATTAAAGATGCAATGCCTTCTTCTTGCAGCAGTGGTTTAGCCATTAATTCTCTTCTTCTACCAAATCCCTGTATGGACCATAGAAGAATAAATGTCAATAGGTATCACAAAATCAATAATCAAAATAGTCATATATAACATTTTCTTGAATATTTTACATACACGTTAATGAAAAATAACTTAAAAATAATCATTTTAATGAAAGATGAAAGTGTAAGCTTAATAGGGAGGGCATCAATTTATAATTCAGGTGGGTGGCTGGTTCAATCCCTGGGCAAGGTGAAATTTTTCAATAACAATTGATCCTGGACATTTAGCCTAATGGTCATTTGTCTCTCACCTCTGATTCATAAATCATGTTGAATTAGTAGTACATGTAGGTCATTGGCAGAGAAATCAGTAATTACTGGTTAGTTATCCAGGAAAGCTGGTTGGGTGAAACAACCACCAAAATTAGTTAAAATCTGCTTAAAAACAAACAAATGTGCTAGCTTACATGATCACCAGTTCCTCCCATCTGTACACACATTGGTCTTAAATGACTCTTCCATTCTTTAGGTAATACCATCTGAAATCTGTAAGACAAGAAATCGTATCTCAATGCAATCCTTAACCTGTTGAAATTTTTAAACGTTAGAAGCATCAGCCTCAATGGATGCTTCCTAAAAAGCTTTAGCAGAACCAAGATTATGACATTTCTGCAAGGAAAAGCACTCAGAAACCTTTACCTTATAATTTCCAAACCCCATCAAGTGTTATATCTATTCTACTTTTCCAAAAAATAAGATCACATTTTAAGCCTTCCAAAAAACAACACTAGAGGATCATTCTTTAGTAATTCTTTTCTCTTTAGAGATATTTGAACAAACAGAAACAATACTTTTGTATGAACATGAGCTGTAACACTTATCATAGTCTATCTAAAGTTCCACAAATGCAATTATTTTTTATTTTTCATTTTTGGAATTAAGTTAGAATTTCCAAATAGTTGGCCATGTAGTTGAACTTACAGTACTCACGCTACTTTTGCTTTTTTGAAAGAAAGAAAGAACAATAATAGTTATTAAGTATTTTAGAAGAACAAGAGCTGTCCATAAGACAGCAAGCTTGACTATTACCACTGATTGACAGCAAGAAAAAGGGACATAACTTTGTAAAAAGGTAACTCAAGAGTTATGGGACCTATGCCTATCATGTAAGATAATCACAAAGAACAAGCATGTGAAGTTTCAGCCAACTCCTTAGTTTTTGGGATATCAACTTGCATGCAGAAACTTAACCAAAGTGTGATGGCGACACTAAAGTGAATACAAAAGCCCCACCCTATTATTCATATAGTCGAGCTAAAAAAGTACATGAATTTCTGAGGATTAATGTACCTTTAAACATTACATTTGCCAAAACATCATTATTCTCTGTAATTACCTTGCAATTTCTGTTTCTTTTGGCACAATTCCTGGAAGAATCTCCTTCAGTGGAGACATAAAATGTCCATCCAGCAGACGAACGTCTCCATTTATAACTTCCTGTTAAAAAGAGAGTAAAGGAATTAGTTCTTGTATATTGAGTTCAAATGAAAAGGCATCTAACAATTGATAACAGTATAAAAAGAGTTTAATATAAAGAAAATAATATAATTTTTGTTGCTTTAATATCACCTTCTTTAAGTCCATGTAATTTATATGTATGTACAATAACAACAGGGCCATAATGGCCCTAGAATTCACTGCCACAAATGGTCATAATTCTTCAATGCAAAAGTAGGGATCTGAGTAAAAGGATTTAAGCATGCTTTTCATTTTCTTTTTACATGCAGCATTTATAAAACTTTTACAGCTGTCCACAAGCAAATACTTACACAACTTGCCAAAATCTTAACTGTAGGCAACAGTATATTTGAATGAAAGATATTTACAGTTGGTTTTTCCTAAAGTCATCAGTGATAAAAGTCCAGGCTATATTTATACAACATACTATATATCTATTCTAGGCACTGTAGAAGACTTACCTGTATTATCCCATGTAAGTCTATATAAACTAAGTGACCCCTAGGGCGTAATTACGATCAGACTCCCAACAGTAAAGATGGACAGTTGCCAAACGACCTTCACAATTCCAGCTTGTCATAAAAACAAACAGAAACAAACAACAAAATATTCCCTACCTTATCAATGTATACTGGATAATCTTGTGGTACAAGATGTCGACATACGTCTCTGTTACCTAATTTCTTCCTTAGGTTGAATATTCTGAAAAGGTCAATTAAGTCAAATTGTGTAATTAACATCTTTTAAACAAAGCTGTATAGGACTCTGAATTTCTGAAATGTTCAGGACCAACAACAAATCAGTTTTTCATATGATCAAACTATTTTTTGGAAATCACTCTCGGTGATTTTATTTCTATCTATCACTTTAATAAAGCTGACTTTATGGATGAAGGGACTAAGTTCATGTTGATGAATACATGGACAATTATTCATAAGTTTTATCAAAACAAACTTTAATCTTGAAAAATACTTAATTAGTGAATATTTTCTGTCTCATTCCTGGATATTTCCAACATATGCTGGTACATGATTCATGAACCTTACAATGATTTTTGTTATGGAATTTGATATGGCCCTCTGGATATCTGTTTTGGGTCTTGGGGTTTTGACATATTAGTTATGGGTCTTGACATAGTTGTTATGGATCTTGACATACATGTATATGTTATTGGTCTTGACATATTTATTATGGCCCTCCACATGTATGTTATTGGTCTTGACATATTTATTATGGCCCTCCACATATATGTTATTGGTCTTGACATATTTATTATGGCCCTCCACATATATGTTATTGGTCTTGACATATTTATTATGGCCCTCCACATGTATGTTATTGGTCTTGACATATTTATTATGGCCCTCCACATATATGTTATTGGTCTTGAACATGTTTATTATGGCCCTCCACATATATGTTATTGGTCTTGACATGTTTATTATGGCCCTCCACATGTATGTTATTGGTCTTGACATATTTATTATGGCCCTCCACATGTATGTTATTGGTCTTGACATGTTTATTATGGCCCTCCACATGTATGTTATTGGTCTTGACATATTTATTATGGCCCTCCACATATATGTTATTGGTCTTGACATGTTTATTATGGCCCTCCACATATATGTTATTGGTCTTGACATGTTTATTATGGCCCTCCACATATATGTTATTGGTCCTGACATGTTTATTATGGCCCTCCACATATATGTTATTGGTCTTGACATATTTAGTATGGCCCTCCACATATATGTTATTGGTCTTGACATGTTTATTATGGCCCTCCACATGTATGTTATTGGTCTTGACATATTTATTATGGCCCTCCACATGTATGTTATTGGTCTTGACATATTTATTATGGCCCTTCACATGTATGTTATTGGTCTTGACATATTTATTATGGCCCTCCACATGTATGTTATTGGTCTTGACATATTTATTATGGCCCTTCACATGTATGTTATTGGTCTTGACATATTTATTATGGCCCTCCACATATATGTTATTGGTCTTGACATGTTTATTATGGCCCTTCACATATATGTTATTGGTCTTGACATATTTATTATGGCCCTTCACATATATGTTATTGGTCTTGACATATTTATTATGGCCCTTCACATATATGTTATTGGTCATGACATATTTATTATGGCCCTTCACATATACAAATATATGTTATTGGTCTTGACATATTTATTATGGATTGTCACATATTTCAAATGGACCTTGACATATTTGTTATGGCCCTCCACATATTTGTTACAGGTCTGGAATACTTGTTATGGACCCTGACATACATGTATTTTTTATGGGTCTTGCCATATTTGTTATGGATCTTGACATATTAGTTACATATCTTCACATATTTGTTATGGATCTTCATAGAACCATGTGTATTTTTGAAGAGGCTTAGCATAATAATTAATTGTTGCCAAAAAACACTCATGAATCTCTTCATGAATTTATCTTATTCATAAAACTAAACAAGAGGGCCATGATGGCCCTGAGGTCGCTCACCTGTATATACCCCCCCCCCCCCGGGCCAATTTTTACCCAAGGGCTTTTATTTGAACAGACTTGGTAGACACCCATAAGAAGATGTTTCATGCTAAACATCTAAGTTCTAGCTCATTGGGTTTTTTAAAAGATGATTTTTTAAGTTTTTACTATACACATATAGTTAAAAACAATGACACCCCTGGGGCAGGGCAAGTTTTGACCCTTGGGCTTTTATTTGAACAAACTTTGTAGATATTTACTAAAAGATGTTTCATGCTTAATATCTAAACTCTAGCTATTCGGGTTTTTTCAAAGAAGATTTTTAACTTTTTGCTATACACATATAAGGAAAATCAATGACCCCCGGGGCGGGGCCAATTTTGACCCCAGGGCTTTTATTTGAACAAATTTGGTAGACAACCATTAGAACATGTTTCATGCTAAATATCTTATTTCTAGCTCTTTGGGTTCTTTAAAGAAGATTGTTTAGGTTTTTACTATATGCATATAGGGAAAATCAATGACCCCCTGGGGCGGGGCCAATTTTGACCCCAGGGCTTTTATTTGAACAAACTTGGTAGACACTCACTAGAAGATGTTTCATGCCAAATATCTTAGCTCTAGCTCTTTGGGTTCTTTAAAAGAAGATTTTTTAAGTCTTTACTATATGCATATAGGGAAAATCAATGACCCCCTGGGGCGGGGCCAATTTTGACCCCAGGGCTTTTATTTGAACAAACTTGGTAGACACTCACTAGAAGATGTTTCATGCTAAATATCTTAGCTCTAGCTCTTTGGGTTCTTTAAAAGAAGATTTTTTAAGGTTTTACTATATGCATATAGGGAAAAGCAATGACCCCCTGGGGCGGGGCCAATTTTGACCCCAGGGCTTTGGGTTCTTTAAAAGAAGATTTTTTAAGTCTTTACTATATGCATATAGGGAAAATCAATGACCCCCTGGGGCGGGGCCAATTTTGACCCCAGGGCTTTTATTTGAACAAACTTGGTAGACACTCACTAGAAGATGTTTCATGCCAAATATCTTAGCTCTAGCTCTTTGGGTTCTTTAAAAGAAGATTTTTTAAGGTTTTACTATATGCATATAGGGAAAATCAATGACCCCCTGGGGCGGGGCCAATTTTGACCCCAGGGCTTTTATTTGAACAAACTTGGTAGACACTCACTAGAAGATGTTTCATGCCAAATATCTAAGCTCTAGCTCTTAGGGTTCTTTAAAAGAAGATATTTAAAGATTTTTCTTTCGGTTGCCATGGCAACCAGAGTTCTGCATGGAATTAAATTCTTTGAACAATTTTTAAAGGTGACCACCAAAGGAACATTCCTGTGAAGTTTGGATGAAATTGGCTCAGTGGTTTATGAGGAGATGTCATTTAAAGCAAAAGTTTACGGACGGACGCCGGACGGACGCCGGAAGAAAAGCGATCACAAAAGCTCACCCTGTCACTTTGTGACAGGTGAGCTAAAAAGGTTGTTGTTTTCTACAAGAAAATGCATGATTTCTTTGCAAAAACATGTCATGAAAATTGTTGTTAAGATAATGTTTTTAGCAAAAGAAATGAAATTCTAGTATTTTGAGAATACATAATGAATGTATTTGTTTAAATAACTTAAAAACATGCATTCAAAAATTAATTAGACTGGTTATACCTTTTCATATCCTCTGGTTTCCCCCATCCTTTAGTATAAAGGCTTGTAACTATCAAACGTCTCCAGAACCAGTCAAGTTTACTCATAACACACTCCAATTAACCTTTCCTTGACCTTCACTTTGACCTTTAAATGACCTTGCTGACAAACACCTAAAAATAGAATATGAGTTGACACAGAATATTATCACTAAAGAATCACATATTTTATGCATGTATAATTCTCCTCTAAAGCATTTATTTAAATATATGTACTCTTAAAATTTTCCTTTACAATAATTTAAAAAAAAATTCCATGTACTTACAGCTGATATTAAGAAACAATTAACTCTAGTACAAAATTAAATGCTATAAGGAAGTGTTGGAAATACTCGGCTAATTCAGGCAAAAATAGTAAACACCGTTGCCCTCCAGGCAAAAGATGTCATTTCAAGTGTCACATTCATAATAATTTAAACATCAGATGATTTAAAACACATGTAGACAAATCAAAACAGAGATTTCCCTACTTTTTTTCTTGTATCTATGTCTACTTATTACGTCCTCAAATATATTAAAATTAATGTAAGGCACAGGTATACATAATATTCTCAATTCTTCTTTTAACACAAATCAATTCATTTAACACTAAATGTGTATAAAAAAAAAGATTTTTGTTAATAAAATTACTAAAAATAATACTTAAAGGCCCATTGTGCCCAAAATTGATATTACTTTTAATTCTAAAAAAAAATTGTGTGCCCTGTTACAGCTTCAAAAAAATTACTCATTTACCATTTAACTGAACCATATTTTGTTTCTTTTGCATTTTGACAGTGGTTTTACTTTCAGCATTTTGATTTGAAGTAAAAATACTACTTTTTTTTTAATTTTGCTACTATTTCAAATTTAGCATTACTTTCTTCGGGTAAGAATAAATCAAATATGCTTTAAATACTGTTTCACTACAGCCAAACCTTACACAAGAGCGATCAATATGAAAAAAAGTCTGAGTGATCTTAATTAGCAGGTGGCCTGTATTTATGGGACTTACAGGTATCAAGGAAAGGGATTTATTTTTTTCCGCACCACTACAAATTTATTTTGATTATTTCTTACAATAAGGTTATTGTAATGTTGCTTTAACAAATGAAACCTACTGCAGTATAATTAATTGAAAAATTTGGAGGAACTGATGAAAGCTCACCAAAACTCTTAGCTATTTTAAGTTGCTAAACCTTTACACTATTGGCAACAATTGAATCTACAAATTCTATAAGATTGCCAAGTTTGATTACAATATCTTTAAAAATAAAAAAGTTATGAAGTTTTTAATAAAAATTTCGCTTTGCTCGGGTCCGCGAACTCGAATCATTTTCCTATATAATATATCGGTACAATGTTCCAGAAAATCACGACATTTCACAAACTTCAAACCTTCATAACTTTTTTATTTTTAAAGATATTTTCAAAATTTAAAATGTTCTAAGTTAGTCTATTTTAATTCTATCATTAAAACACACTTAAAAAACATTGTAAAAATGTTGAAATTTTAGCTGGGGTTGCTAATGTGACTAGTGCAGACCAAGATCAGCTGAATTTTCAGCATGCTGTCTCATCATGGTCTGAACAGTTCACTATTCAGTCAGTTCATATTTTAAATTTTTACCTGAAAGATCTAGATGGACAATTTCATTGCAGATATTGAGTGTGGCAATGGTTAATGTGTTCCATATTTTTATATATTTTTAATGTCTTTTTTACCCCCCGAGCCATAAGAAAAGATTTTAAAATAAAGGCTCATATCACAATATTTTTTAAATAGCAAATTAATATGATCACTTATCAAATTTTATTGTACTTCCTAGTTATATGAAAATTAAAATATAAAATCATAAATGTAAGAACTACATGCACGAACCTTTGTTTTTAAAGTGTGTATAATTTACCTTAGATAATATATTATATAATAATACTTTAATCCTTTTCACACCTACACTACTATAATTATGTTTCATAAAATGTATATTAACTTTAAATTGTCATTCATGTTATGATTAACTTTAAATGTTTCAGGATAAACGAGCCCAATATATTGCACTACATCAGGGTTCTCACAAGGACTTTAAAACATGGAGTCCATGGACTCCCAACCCTGAAAAAGTTGAAGTCAAAAAGCGTGTCACAATTAATATGTTTACAGATTAGTCATTCAATGCTCACAATTAATGTCACAATAGCATTGCTGATATTTTGAATCTTCAAGAGACTTCCAAAGTTTATAGTTATTCAAAAGAAACTCTGAACTAGATAGTATAATTATTGTTTTGTTGTTAATATTTATTATGAAATTATTTCATTATAATGCATCAACACATGGAAATCGTTTTTTTCCTCACTTTTATACCAAATCAAATTTTATTCTGGTTAAAAAAGTCCACTCTAAAGACAAAAAGTTTGTATTTGTAAAAAAAAACGTAAATGTATATAGGCAGCGTTTAGCGGAATGAATAGGAAAATCGTGTACAGCTTCACAAAGTGTGTAAGAGATTCATGAGATCGACAATTGTTTTAGCAAATATCTTCAAAAGGGGGCAAATTGAAGATCCATATTTAAAGATTTAATGTTGATTAAATAATAAAGGAACAATTCATTCGCATGTTTGGCTTGGAAACCGAGAATTTTTGCGAAATTTTAGGGTTTCTGGTGAACGTGAAATCGCCGATGTTAGGGATAGAATCTAAATATCAAAGAAAAGCATATGTGTACCTGGCATTTCGGCACAATATCTTAAATCCAAATACTCTTATAGAAAGTTTTTGCAAGAATGAAACTAAAGCAAAATTGTGCCTAGAAAATGCCGAAAATATTCGACAATCTTTATAATGCCGAAAATATTCGACAATCATTCAAAATTACACTCATTTGTAATTTGAGAACTTGCGGCATAAATAGTCAATAATTTTATCCTTTTGTTGGTAAAATTTGCTAATTTCCAATCAACTGTTGATCAAAGAAAAAAATTATCACCTCGTGTTATATCTGGTAATTACATGTTACTGTACAGCGCGTGTATACATTAGTCTGATCACTATTGCGTGATAATGATCGGAAGTGTTATCGCTGATTGGCTAATCGCTTCACGGGTCGATGTGCATAGGACCACCTACCTATAGACTGACATGCGCCGATGCATTTGTGTATTTGTGGTTGTGAACAATTGGTAATGTTTATGCGTCCCCAGGCAAAATTAAGCGTACATGGAATCCTTGCTCTGAAATATTTGCGTCCAGCTGTAATAAACATGCGAACCGGGACGACCAAGCTGCCTAGACAACTGGAATTCTATCATTAGTAAACAGCAATGCTATAACAACATTTAAAAAGTACCTTCTTAAATATTGGATCTGCTGTTCAGTAATGAAATTTGAAGTTCCTCTAGTAGAAGTATCCGAAATTCATGGTGCATTTGTTTTATCCGATTAATATGACACTTGCGTGTAAATCATTACAAAATTTATGCTACTACGATTATCTTATATCAACATTAGGAATTCTTATCCTACTTATAAAATCTCGACAATTTCAAAGAAGAAATGGACATTCTAGTTTAAATATTGACGAAATAATGTAAAATGTGGTAAAATTATAAATCAGTTGACCTTACCTTGGGTTACGTCCCTTGTCTCGGATGACTAAAATACGCAACGAAGATTTTTATTGCGCAACGGGCGCAACTGAGTTTCTATTTGCAAGAATTTTAAAGGCAATTATGAGTATTCTTGATTAAAAGTCGAATGTGCACATAGTTTTTAATCATAGAAAGCCTACATTAGAGCTAAGATATTTGGCATGAAACATCCTCTAGATAGTGGACCTCTATAAAAGTTGTTCTAATTAATTGTCTCTATAGTGTCACCCCAGGGGTCATAATTTTTCCCTATACATGTATATATAAAAATAGAAAAACTTTAAAAATCTTCACCTCTGAAATGACAAAGTCTAGATATTTGCCGTGTAACATTGTGTCATATCCCTGGGGGTCTAAGTAAGCCTTTCCCTGGAGGGGCATAGATTTTCATTACGTATAGAAGTTAAGTACAGTAAAATACTACAAGAAAATTTATCTTCCGAAGCTACTAAGGAAAGAGCTTAGATATTTGGCATGAAACATTGTGGACATCTATAAATATTAATCAATTTATGACCCTTGAGACAAAATGAGCTCAGCCCCGAGTGTTATGATCGAGTATTCTTTCGTTATATACATTTTATACATGGATATTTTTTTTGTCCCAGTATACATTAAACAAAAGCTAAAAAAATGTTTTTTGAAAAGAAGAAAGCTTTCATATTTGACATGAAACATTGTCTGGGTGACCTGTATCAAGATTGTTAAAATTAAAGCCTCGATCGGGGTCTTACCCCAGGGGTCACAGTGACCTACGTTTTATTTCATATACTATCAGCCATGAAACTTGGACCATGTGAACAATTCCAGATGTAGAACTAGAACTGCCATTATCATGGCTTGAATACCCCTACATAACACTTTCTCAGAATTAACACTGGTCATTTAGAGCTCAAGGACAACCTCCCTGCCAAATCTGAGGGTAGTAAGCCAGTGCATTGCTAAGTTATGTATTCTACATGTTTTTAGTGGCAAAGATCAAAGTAACCATAACCTTTGACCTTCTGACCTCAAAACTGAAACTGCCACTGCATGACTTGAATACCCACCCCTGCCCCCAAATCATGCAGCTTTGCCTGGGGGTGTTTTATGATGTATATATGAGAAAATAATTATATGCTTCAAAAGTGAAAATGTCAAAATACTCTGTGAAAAGACATTCTTAAGCATTTGAGCAGACAAGCTTATTGTAGTAAAAGCCCCTTTGATTTTGACCTTTGAACCAGTCACCTAAAAATCAATTGGGCTCATCTTCTAGTCATAACCAACTTCAATACCAAATATGAAGACTGTTGACCAAAGCATCCTTAAGCAATTGAGCACTCAAGCTTTTTGAACTTAAGGCCCCTGTGACCTTGACCGTTGACTCAAAAATCAATAGGGGTCACCTAATGGTCATGCGCAACATCCATGCCAAATATGAAGACTGTGGGCCAAAGAATTCTTACGTTATTTGGCGGACAAGCTTTTTGAAGTCAAGGCCCATGTGACTTTTGACCCAGTGACCTTAAAATCAATAGGGGTCATCTAATGGTCATGACTAGCCTCAATGCCAAATATGAAGACTGTGGGTCAAAGGATTTTTAAGGTATTGGGTGGACAGCTTTTTTTAGTCAAGGCCCTTCTGACCTTGACTTAGTGACATCAAATTCAATAGGGGTCATCTACTAGTAATTACCACCTCAATATCAAATATGAAGACTGTTGACAAAAGCATTCAAAAGCAATTGAGCAGACAAGCTTTTTGAAGACAAGACCCCTGTGACCTTGACCTTTGACCTCAAAGCAATAGGGGTCATCTAATGGTCATGACTAACCTCAATGCCAAATATGAAGACTGTGGGTCCAAGGATTCTTAAGGTATTGGATGGACAAGCTTTTTTTATAACTCAAATTCAAAAGGG